ATTTTCACTAACAGTAGCGATATGTTAAGAATTATTTATTTTATTAATTATAGTTTGATTTAAGTTTTTAGAAATATAATTAGAGAATTAATACAACGAAGTTTAAACAAATATTTCGTTTAAATTACTGCTTTATTTCATTATATTTTTCTTCTTTTTTTCTATTTATTGTTTATAATGTTCTATCACTCAGACAGTAAATACAGTGAGATAAGAACACATTCACACCATATATACAGAAAGCATAAAATAAATTAGAAAATTAAGAAATAAATAATAATAAAAAAAAAAAATTAAAAACACAGGCATACCTGTATACAGTGTTCACAATCAGCTGAGAGAACTCCTAGCCAGGCTTGTCCCTCCAACTATAGAGGGAAAAGCTTGACTCTAGGAGATCTATGTGCTTCTCTCTTAACCGTGTCACTCGTACTAAAGTCATTGGAGATTGAGCTAGAGCGGTTTAGCTCGAGCCACATACACAAATGTTTTGAGTGTAGAATCTCCATTTCCAGAACTCCAATATTATATTTTTCTTCAAACGTTCCAATCAAAATTATTGCGACTCATAACAAAAGCACCTTGGTACGTGACTAACAAAACTCTACATACTGACCTCCACTTTCCAACAGTTGACCAACATATAACGACCCTATATCAATGATTTTACACAAATTTAAATGGACATAATAACAGACTTATAAGAGACATGGCCACAACTGACATACCTCAGAACATGAGCAGGAGACTAGAAAGGCGTTGGATGAGGGATCTCCTTCCTTAGACAACCTAAGTAATTGGAACAAGTTAGGGAAGAGGTACTGCTCAGTACTTTCCTTCCCCATGCCTGTCATGTCATTATATCATTATCGCCATCACATTTGCTGATTGTCAACTTATTGTTGACAGGTGCAAATACATATTTTATAGACAAAAAAAAATATATATATATTTTTTTCTTAAGTAGGTTTTTATATAGGTTCAATATTTATTTTTAATTATTTTTTTATTATCAATAATTTTGAATTTAGTACAGAATTATTTTACTGTTTCTTCATAAACAATTCAGTGAAAATATCAAATATTTTGATTTAATGATTTTTTTTTTTTTCGGGAGGAAAAATGAAATGAGTTATGAAAAGACCACAGACTAGAAAAATTCAATTTAATTTTCCATTCCGAGAAGTTTTGATAGCTATAAATATTCCTATCTTACACAAGGCTGCCTTCCTCCCTCCCTCCCCCCCTTCCTACTCGGCTATTACAAGAATCAACGAACCATGACTGCTATATCCCGGCGAGGTTTAACTACGAAACAGTATTTTGTTGAAATAATGTCAGATAAATTAATATCAGAAAGGAAACTGTAACAGAGACTATCTTATTGAATTGTTCAAGATTATCTTTTACAGTTGTCTGGGCTATTAGGAAAATTGATATTATTTTAATTTTGCTTTGTATCCATTATATCAATTAAAAGTTATGTAATAAAACCACATAAACCTTTTGAAGATGAAATAGTTACGATGACTACAAAAAAGATGAAGTTTATGCTGAGGTTTGATTAAATAGAATGCGTCAGGAAAAACATAGTTTTACTTATTTTAATTTTAGAGATGTTTTTATTATTGTAACACAATGAGTTATAAATGTACTGACGAACAATACACGGCTAATAAAATAAAGATGAAACAAATCTATTAGAATTTACTCATCAATAATACTGCTCTTTGAAGAAATTGATTTTTACATTTATCTTGGTATGGTAAAACATCAGTTATTTTGTTAAATTTATCATCCTTGATAATTTATTTCTTTAATTCCTACAATAATTTTCTATTGCTAGGTTGAATTTTACTTATAATACTTGCTATAGACTAGGATCTACCGACCAATTCATTTAACGGAAGGACTCAAATCTTTTAACCAATTTTAATTCTAGATTAGGTACAGAGGAAATTTAATGAGCTTTAAAATTAATTATAATAAAGTTCTTCCAGAGATGTATAGATTTTGAGGTTTGAGGAAAAAAACTACGATTCTTTTCTTGTGAAATAAGCAAACAGTCAACATTCTCTAAATCCTCACACGTTGGCCCTCAATCAAAAAGCTATTTTAAGAATGTATAGTCAATTTTATCTTCTTTAACTTTGTATATAATGTTAATATATACAATCGAATATAATCGATAATTTGCAGTTCCGGAGACAAGTCCAAAAAAAAACAAAAAACATATATAATTGAATTGATATTTAATAATTGAAAATTTTGTCCGATAAACATCAAATTCAGATTAAGCACCCCAAAAAACATTAAAACCGAAGAAAACTGACTCTTTGAATTTTTTTCTCGTCCAATTACCATTCGACGTGTCTGATTTGATGACTTTGAAGTCGTCAGTTTTCAAAACGCAACCGAGCACATCGTCAGTCAAGGTGAATTCTTTTTTAGGCACATATTCTTTAAATCAAAATTTCAGCCGAAAGTTATTCCGTTAAATGAACTTTTTTTAGTTTTTTTTTTCTGATTTCCTCGTTTTGTGTATATTTGATTATACTTTATACAAACACAAAAATAAGAGTTTAAAGAGGAATAGTAATATAAAATACTAATAACACTACGTTATTGTCTAATCTTACAATAATGGTTCAAAAATGTAAAATTAAAAAGGTAAATCTGTATTTTCTTTTCTCCTTATTTTTATTTGGGTATCATTTTATCATCATAATCATCTTACCTGAAAAAATTGAACAGAATTGAAATAAATTGCATATTTGAATTTCTTCTTCATATTTTATTTTTGAATATTTAATTATTGGAACTCGAATTCAATTTATCGACATCGTAAGAGTGGAAGAAAAAAGTTGAGACCAGTAAAAGAATTAGAATTTTTCAATCTTCTAACTTCAGTTGGAGAGGTTCTTTAAAAACTTGGATAAGCCGCTTAGAATGTCGACATTTTACAGAATTCACCAGGGTACAATAGGTTATTATTAAATAATAGACTAAATAATTAAGTAATTATTTAAAATTCTAAGTAATTTTTTTTTTCGGAAAAAAAATTATACTAAAAAAAAGATGTGACAATGAAACAAGAGAAGTACAAAGAATTATGTTATTTTGAAGTATAATAGAGATAAATTATATAGAGAAAAAAAATTGGAAAGAGGAAGAGTCTATGACCGTTTTTAAAATATATATAAATGAAAACATCATACAGCTAGATAGCTTTCTAAAGTTTAGAAGAAAACCATCCAATTATTGAAAATTGTTTGGATCTACTAACTAAAAAAAATAAATATGATAATGAAACATGTTGAAAAAAAAACACGTAATAAAATAAATAAGAAACTATTAACAAAATACCTTATATTGTACAATAAAACCTAGATCTATGCAGGATAGTTACAATTTTTACAGAGCAATGATTGTAAATGTCAAAATTTAATATACATCATGGGCTGATTTAAAATAGTGATTAGAATTATTAAATTTACCTCAAATATTATAATATTCAATTTTGGTACCAAAAATAATCACCATTTGTTTTATAAGGTGTTATGCAGATTATTTAGAATGCGTACTGTCATTTAAAATATGTATTGTTTAATTTGTGATCACTTCTGATTTTAATTATACTCATTGTTCCAATGTATAAAATGGTCTTACTATGGTATCATATCAAATGGTCTCATTCCAATGGTCTTATTTGAACGACCAGTTATTTCTTATCTTCGTTGAAATAGTGTCACGGGGTCCAAATACCAAATTTTTAAAATGTCTTTTCTCTTGTTTTTAAAAGTAATAAAAATAGTTTAGATAATAACTACGTAACAATTTTATGGGTAATTATAGGAGAAAAAAGTATTTTTTCATTTTTATTGTTAATATTATTTTATTTATCCGTAGCAATAACTAAATTTTTCCGTAAGGTACCTTCCACATTTATGCACGTGCCGCTCACTTATAATAATATACACATAAATAATCATAACATTAAAAAAATATTTTTTTTAAAATGTTAATTAAATAATGCGATACTTATACGATCATTGTTACATATTAATTAATTTGTTTATGATAATTTAAAATAAATAAAACGATAAATGCTTTGAGATTAATAAGATTTGTGTAGTAAGTGAGAATGATGATTCACATATTATCTACATTGATGAACATCAGAACGTTCCTCTTTGAGTAAATATTGAAATACAGAACTATTCCATAAAGTATTTGGAGTGTTTTTTAAAAATTATAATCAAATAATATGATATATGATAAAACACATTGAGATGCGATAAGTTTTCAGAAGTAAATGTGCGTAATTACACATTTACCGACATTGATAAATATCACAACATTTCTCATTAAGTAAATATTGGTATACAGAGTTATCCTACATTTTATAGAATTGAAACAATATTAACCAATTGTTTTTACTATAGGCATTCCAAGCTTGTAAAAATTTTTACTTTCACTTACCTATGTGTGAAATAAATAGTAAGGGACTGTATTGCGATCGTGAAGATTTTTGAATCTGAGATTTCAACGGAAATACATGTTTTGAGATCTCCTGGATACAAAGTACCGCAAAATGGTCTGTGTATTTGAATGTTTCTGTATGCATGTGACAGATCTAGCTCAAAAACGAAAACCTGTATGGAAGTGAAATGCGTATTTAAGGTTTGTATATACCTTAGATGTTACAGCAACTTTTTTGTCAAAAACCATTCACAAAGCTTTGCACAGATGTTAATAATTTGGTAAAATGGGTTCTGTACCGCGAACAATACCCCTCCTCAGAACATTATCATCGTTTATAAATAGCATTGATGCTCTATATATTTATGGTGTTTTGTATTAATTAGTATATATTTTAATTATATCATTCGTGACAACAATTGATACTTAAATTACGAAAATTTTATTTTATTTTATCTTATTATTACTGATGAGATGAACTAGTTTATAAAACAAAAGTGCATTAGAACATGACTTACGACACAGGCAAAGATGCAGTAACTCGATGCTTGGTCGAGCCGGCAATCCCAGGACACTAACAAGAGCTCGAGGACACGCAGGATCGGAGCGTGAACACTACAGAGTACTGGTCCCTCCACTGAGGTGTTGCATGCACCACTGAGCTAAACCTCAAGGATATCTTATCTCCAGGATAGGTGGGGGATCCCTACCGTTTCCTCTCAGCAGGAACCTCCAGGTCTTCTAAGCAGTGTCCGTCGTTTTGGAGTCCTTGGATCGTGACGACCCCGGTCGTGTGAATCTTCGTCCTCGAACTTCGGCGCGGCGTAGTGAATCGGTGAAGGGAATACGAATCTAGATGCGAAGACGCTCTTCCACATGGAGATATACTTCAGTATACTTCAAATATATATATATTTCATGAAATTTATACTGTACAAATTAATATACATTCAACAAATGTGATACAGAGAAATACATCAAATGACAAGGCTTGTAGAGAATATACTCATTGGTAGCACTCTAATAAAGTATCTAAATTAGAAAATCATGAGGCCATTTTCTTTTCAGACGCCTAGGAGGGTTATCAGGGATCGAGGAGGAAGTAAGATTAGAAACGACAGGATTAGGATGGTTCTGAATTTTATTATGGAAGGATATGTGTCTGCTTGGACAAAATCGGAAACATTCAGGTCATTATGGATTATTTTATTTGGTACAAAATAAGGACCATTAAGGATTTTACGAAGGATTTTGGATTGTGAAGATTGGATACGAAAAGAATTTGAAGGTTTAGTGGTGCCACAAAGCTCAATTCCGTAAGTCCAAATAGGTCTTATTATAGTCATGTATATGAGTCTTTTCTAATTAATTGAAAGGTTTGAGCGTTTTGTCTAGTAAGTGCTGAAGTAGTTGGAAACGTAGAGCGGTTTTCTGTCGTTTCAGTCTGGTATGAGGATTCCAAGTTATACGTTTGTCCCGGTGGAGTCCCAGGCATCAGATTTGTTCAATTGGGATAAGTGGGGTATTTTAAAAGGATAAGGAAGTCATAGGTTTACGACGAAGCGTAAAGGTAATTTGATGGGATTTATTTTAATTGTTCAGTTTTGATACCATTCTTCAAGGTTTGTGATTTGGGATTGAACGATTTGGAGTGCAATTGTTGGATTCTTATTAACTGATGACACATTTGTCATCAGCATAGGTTTGTAATGACGGTGTTTGGATGGGTTGCGATGTCGGCTGTATTGACGGTGTAAAGAAAAGGACCTAGGATACTACTTTGAAGAACACCAGCAGACTGCGAAAACAGGGATGAATAGACAGTACTTCAAATATGAAGGGGGTGAATGAAATATCTTCCTTAATGATTTTACGTACACCATCCTTTTCAAAATACAATAAATTATTATTTTAAAAGTGACGGATTTTTTTTTTACAATTGTGTTTAGAGTAACTGTGATAATTACTAACCTTTACTTGTTGGCTCGTGCGAATAATATTAGTCAGTGAACAAATGAAAAAATAATAAAGAACTTAAATAATTCAACATTTCATCAGGTGAAATAATCATTTCCTATTTTTCTAGAAATTCTAATTGACAAAATATAAGATCATTATTATAAAACTACAATTAGAAAAATAAAAGAAACGCTATGGTAGAGGATGCGTTTATCTACTATGTTTTTGAGAAATATTTACATTTAAAAATACATTGTTATATTAAAATAAAAAATTTGCTTAAATAAAAATACAATCTTTTTTTTTTAAACCTCAAGCAACACTCGAGCTCTTTTTGATTTGTCTCGAAATTACAACAGCGAATTAAATGGTTTACTCTCTCAGGCCGTATTATTCCAACACATCAAGAAAGAATCATTTTATAGTTGACAAGTCATGTTCAATGAGAGTCCACCTAATAAATTAAAAGGATACAATAGAATTAGTTGAACCATAGTCATCATCAAGTAGCGTTATCCGTTGTGAGGAGGTACGACTCATTCTGACGCATTGGCCAGCATTCACCACACATTTCCTACTCTTCCATAACACATTCACAGCCACCACATAAGCAAACATTTTTAAAAAAAGAAGAAGATGCAATAAGGATAGTATTGACTTTCCTGAAGGTTAACAATATGTGTCGAGTTATAGTTATAATTTATTATTTTATACTTAATCAATGGTTTGCTCATCTTCTGAGTTGAGAAATTATCATATTTTAATCAGCACAGTAATTTCAAACACCCATTACAAATAAATGCCGTGACTTATAATAATCTAGTAATGATAAATATCTTATTATTTGCAATAATAAATATTCCTTAAAAGTTAATATGCCCTGTACCTACTGGCAAGCGTCCGAGTGATATACCAAAGCGAAGGTGGGAACATTGCATCGATTGGTGGTATAGCCATCGAACCTTCGGGTTCGCTAAGCCTCATTATTATAATAATAAATATTCACCTACCCAGTTAAATGTGACCAAATATAGAAATACGATCCGATGGAAAAGTCCAAAGTATTTTCTTTTTAAAGTTGCCAAGATCTGGTTAGTACTGCCTAGAAGACCAATGGAGGACCATGAGATTAATTGGCTCGATACTTGAATAGCAAAGTATAAGTCCGTTCAAGTTCGCCCCAAATGACAATATGGGTCATGGAACCTAGTTCGATTCACAGTCAATAGCCTTGCAAAAGAATGCTCCTACATTTCCCATCCAGTTTCGACTTTCATTCAAGTATTCAAGTCAGCCATGGCTCATGCTTTGTAGATGTTAGGCATGGAAGAATCGAGAATTATCGATATTATTTAAGTATATAATAATAGTGAAAATAAACTTCGATATATCGGTCTCATTATTTTTAATCTTTAGTTATACAATGGTCATAATTCATAAACAATTGCATTGATAACATTAATTGTTTCCAATTTAACTCCATTTTTATTAAAATAAAAAAAAATACGAAATAAAAATACTAGCTAGTCATCTACCATTTTCAAACCCTCTACACGATATCCACCAGCAGTGAATTCTTTTTCCATTTTTTTATTGAATAATATTACATTTTTTTTTCACAACTGAAGATCTTGTTAATAGTGATACAGGAGTTCATTCACACTATACATACAATAAATAAAAATAAATCAAATGGAACAACAACTAAATAATAAAACTAAACATAAATAAATGTACATTAACTCAACTTATAAACTCAAACTAATTAAAATAACAACTTAAATACAGGCAACCATATATACAATATTTACTAACATTCAGCCAAATCTTTCTTCCAACATGTGAATGGAAATACAGGACGCTAGCTAGAGAAGCATTACTAGTATAATATAGAAGATTAATAGACATACTAATAAATTTTTATTTATTTAATTTTTTAATAAATGAAAATCAATTATTTACGAACCTATTTACGAAGCGTATCTGATAGGTATGCATGAGTTTTTGCTTAGTTTGAATTATCTTTTTTTTTTTGGTTATTTTATTTTATTTATTGTATGTACATTTGATTATTATTTATTGTTAGTTTGCTTCTATTTATTTAATATTTTTTGTACTTATAGTTTGAATGTTATCCTACCTCACTATAACTAGTGTACATGTGGCAGATCGTTGTAATACTCAATAAATAAACAGAAGAAAAAAAATTATTATCTATAGTAAAAAAAAAAAAAAAATAGGAGTAAGAAATACATATATTTTTTTAAAGGCTAGATATATATGACACAAGTCTCCTGTTAAAAAAATAAGAATTATGAGACTTGGGTCGCTAAGAAGTTCGGTTTGTTCCCCGAAGATATGAAAGCTCAGATTATGGAAAAGAAATAACTTGTACAAATCCGTAATCCGAAAAGAAATATAAATATATATATAATGGCAGCATTACGAAGGGGGTATCAGGAGCGCTCATATTTCTGCTGGTAGCTTTCGATATTAAGAACGAATCCTGAAAAAAAGCGCCTAATATTGTAGGAAGAATCTTCGCCGAGGGTTTCTTCCTCCCCCCCCCCTCCCCCTCACAAGAGCCTTTATCATCTCTTCGACGGGGGAAGATGATTTCTTGACCGGGACCGCTATATTTCAGCGACTCGGAACCGAAGACACCCTTGCTAGGAAATAAATCTGAAGTATTCGACCATAAATCGGTACTGCGACACCCGAACACTAATCCATTAGGGGGGGATGTTTAGATTTATTTGCGAGCGGAAGATATTAACGTGGCGAATTAGCTAAAGCCAGGATGAGGAGGGACATTGGATTACAAGAGGTCTCGTGGTATTCCCGAGGGGGTTCCAGCGGATAGTCAGTCCGTGTCATTTCTCTCTCTAGAAAACGGCCTTTGAAATATTCCCTAATTGATCTGTCATGGTAAAATATATGTATATCTATGCTTATATATATATATATGTATATATGTATAATAGGTATTATTTAGGGAAGACAATAAATTATTAATTTCATATAAATTATGAGTCAAGCGACGCTAATGCCGTCTGTTGACAGACAGGAGAAGCAGATCAAGATAACCTAGGGTTGGCCATCAATAAACGAAATATCGATATTTTAACTTCGATATTCGATATTATCGACTGGTGATATCATTCCTTCGTATTTTTAATATTTTAATTCAAAATTAAAATTAATACTATCGTTTTTGGAAAGCCCTAGGAATTATAAATGAATCTGATCGCCTATCGATGACCATCCATAAATAGCTGAGTTGAATAAGGCTCTTGGGCTCTTCTAACTCAGTAAACTCAATTTAGCCAAATTTGTTAGTTAGAACCTTCTCAAACCAAATCAACAAATTATCAAAGAAATCTAGGACTTAGGATGCAAATAAGTTATCATTTCACTGAATCCGATAAAGATAATTTTACTAAGGAGAGTAGAGAAATTCGTAATTCCATTAATTAATTTAAAGTAGAAAACAACATATTTTTTGTAAAAATAACATAAATGTGCCTAAGTGCTTAAGAATCAATAATTATTCTAATATTCATATTTAAAAAATGTTAATAATACCGACTGTCGATATTTGAAATCTTATATTTTTATGGTATAGATCAATAGGTCGATATTAATAGGTATATTGGGTCTTTGATATCCCATCCCTAAGATTACTGCCCC